CATAAAGGTTTCCAAGAACATTGTACTAATGGCGCTTTTCCACTGCGTGGTACGACTCTGCTCGGCACAGCTCGGCTCGGCACGGCTCGGTTTGCGTTTCCACTGCAGTTTAGTATCGCTTTAGAGTGGGCGGGATTATTCACATGTCGTTATAGTTGCGCCGCCTCTACTGCCGCGACTCCTGAAAAACTTTTTCATTCCACGTCGCCCCATTAAGCTCTCGTTGGATCCCCTCCTCTGCTATCAACGAGAGGAACGTCTGTACGTCCTCAACAGTATGTTTTTTTGGTATTTATGTTTTGGTGGTATCGGTATTTTAGATCGGAAATGCAATAACAGACATATCCGCAAAATATTTCAGACAAAGAGAAAGATTACTCCAAGAGGGAAATTCTATTGGGGTTCCTTTATAACAAATATAAATTGGAAAAAAGCTTGGCTTTTGCCAAGTAAATTTTGCATTTCTAACAAGGTTAAGGCGATTCATTATAAAATCCTTCATAGAATTTACCCCGTTAATTTGTCTATTTCTAAATATTCTAATGTTGATGAATCTTGCTCGTTTTGTTGAGGAAACAGCTGCCCATTTGTTTTTTGATTGTGGTGTTACCAACAAATTATGGGTTGACGTAAGCACCTATGTTTCTAACCTTACAAATGTATCCCATACCTTCGTCCTCAAAGATGTTATCTTTCATTATGAAAATCCAAAGCTATTATCTGTTGAATATGTTGTTAATTTTCTTATATTGAATGCAAAATTCTTCATTCATAAGCAAAAATGGCTTAAATCTCCTTTGTCTTTCCCCATTTTTCTTGTTGAATTGGACTCTCTTGTTTCATCTCTTAGACTTACTAATAACAAAAGGAGTGCCAAACTTTTGATGCATTATGACAACTTTTCTAAAAGAATGTAAGTTTATTTTTGCACTTTTTATGTATCGATAATAATTAATTTGACATGCAAATACAGAATATTTGTTTTCTGTTTTTATTTTTATAATTGCTTTTTGTTGGAATATATTCATGTCTCGCTTCCCTGTTTCTGTATGTTTCTACAAGTTTTGTAATAAAACAAAAAAAAACTTGGAACCTCAACCGGGGTGGTACTAAAAAAGTACCAGGTACTGTACCCAGTGGAAAACCCCCCAAAAGTCAACCGTACCAAGCCGTGCCGTGCCGTACCATGCAGTGGAAAAGCACCATAAATGGCTTCTTAATGTCTTTATAGCTCTTTCAGATTTGCCTAAAAATCAATCAATTCTTTCTTCCCCAAAGCATCAGTATCAAAAAGTCATTGTTCACCCTATGTTAAATAATTAATCAGAATAGGGGGTCTAAGTAGGCTGCAGGATTCTGAGGAATGGAAGGTACTTAAGTATTTGCACTGCAGATGGATGTGTATTAACATGCCTTTTTTGTGTGTATTGTATTGTGTAATGTGTATTGATGTGAATTAATGTTAGACAGTAAACACTATGGGAAAATTGAACTATCAAGAAACGAATCACAGCTTCACCAGCAATTAGAAAAATAACTTATTTCATTTACTCTCGCTCATGTCGTTCCAAACCTGTATGACTTACTTTCTTCTTTAACACTTTAGTAAAGGGACCAGTTCTCACTATTAACTATTTGCTTATTAGCATGCCTATTATTAACATATTTGCTGTTTATTAGTACTTATAAATCACATATTCTGCATGACCATATTCTACATCCCTAATCCTACTGAATATTTAAACGTAACGACTACCTTACTAACTATTAATAAGCAGCAAATTAAGAGTTTATTGAGGCAAAAGTCATAGTTATGGCCAGATTTACTAACAGCTTGCACCAGAGCAAACCGTCTTTTGGCGTTAAAGTAGTACTGTCAGGATTTACTAAAGACGCACAGTGAAGAATTAGCACGGAAAAGGCATGGACACAGTTATTTTTGCCCCTGACCTTATTAAATATGCATTTGTAGGAGTTTCCCTTTCAGACGCAAAATTTATGTGAGGAGAGTATTTTAAATGAATCACGCAACGTGATTTACTAATGTTTGCGCTCGTCAAATTACTGGTATTTGCGCAAATATTTAACGACCCAAAAAAGCATGTCTTAAAGCAGGCAGTAATTTGCGCTGCTCTTGGTAGATTGCGCTGGCCATTATGGAAATGATCTAGCTGTGTCTGTGTTCTTTAATGTGCTCATTGTCAGTAAATCACACGCAGAATTTTCCCTCCCATCGGCGCTTTTATGGAATTGTGCCCTGACGCTAATTTGCTCTGTTTAGTAAATCTGACCCTTAATGGCTTGTTAATGGGTGAGAATCAGACCTTAAAATAAAGTGTGACCCTTTCTTCCATGAAAACCAGACTAAAACTTAAGTAAATTCCTGTCAAATCTTCCCATCTGCCTTGGCTCTCAAATCTTATTTGCACTTTCAAATTCAAACTTGGCACCATAGGCGATTCTAGACCTATTTAAACTTCAGCCCCCCTAAAACTCTGCGGTTAAGCTTCCGGCGTCCTTAAAAATTGTTTTTAAAAAAAAAATGATTATGTAATCTTTTTTTCCACATTTGCTGAAAGCAGCGGCTGCAGTAAAGCTACTTGAGGATATTCCCCTCTGAAAGTGCAACCAAATACACCATCATTACTAATAAACATCTACTGACAAATGCCATTTTAATTGGTTCATTCAAAAAATTGTCAGTCGAGCAAAACTTAAACTTGCAAATCACACTTTAAGCAAGATACTGTATAATGATCTGAACCAACTGAACATCTCATATTCAGGATCATGGGCAACTTTATAAGTAGAAAATCCTAGAAGACATACAAGAACCAAATGCATTTTTGCATTAATGACACCATATTCATGTTAAATATATTTACATTTATATTCATTTCATATCATATAATTATTATTCTTATTATTATAAATGAATACAAGTTGATTTGTTTGATTGATGCCATGTTTAGATAGATAGATAGATAGATAGAATGAATGAATGAATGAGATTACTAATAAATTGATGAATAATGAATTATAAATTGCTAATATAAACAAAATTATTATCATTATTATTAATGTTATTGTTTTTATATTATATATTTAAACATTATTTTATTTAAGCATAAAACTAATTAAATTTTGGCCTTTTTGCGCACAAACTATCATACATAACTTTAGAAAATATAACTTTTGTGATACGTTAATAGTGCTTTTGTCATTTTTGAAGCTTGACTGCCCTTGATTGCTGTATTTTTTTCAATGTATGAAAAAGAGCTGACTGGACATTCTGTGAAACATCTCCTTTTGTGTTTCACAGAAGGGAAAAAAATCATATGGATTTGGAATGACATAAGGGTGAGTAAATGATGACAGAATTGTTCTCTATAAACAGCTACAGTACATAATACAGAGGCTTGCAAGAACATCATGTGTCATTTTGCTCTGACAGCTACACATAAGCCACCTATGACAGTAACTTGTCCACAACTGTGAGTTACTTTCAAAACTCACCTGAAGTCCCTGTGGCCAGGCACAAAAATAGACAACCCCTGTCTTTTGCCTTTCTGAGAAAAAATGGTATGTTTACAGAGCGCTCGACATTTTGAGAAATTTTGCTGGTTATGTTTAGAACAATTTCTCCTGTGGTGCATCCCTCCCTTCCAACAGTAAAAACCAATAGAGAGCAAGGTACACCAGACACACGCATGTTCTTACTGCTGACTCTACTCATGCAGCCTTTGAAGCCAAAGCCTTCAGATGAAAGCAATGTGTGCAGATGCAGTTCACACATCTTGAGCTCTCTCGTCTGCTCATTTCATAGATTCTACTTTCTATTCAAAAATATTAAGGACACATTCAGCATTGGTCAGCTGGGGAAAATAAACTGACTAAGCCTATCTGCAGTTTTTTTTTTCTTTACAGAAGAAAAAAGACACATCCAGTGCTCATCTGTTTAATTTAGGGATAACAAAGTGGTGTGCATGATTTATTTATTTATATAATCTTCAGTCCACTGTGGATTCATTGCATGGATAGCGGGTCTGATTTAAAAAGTGTTTTTCTACAAGTATCATATTTGGAGGATGCACCAAAAAGACTACTCAGTAGTGATCAAACGGATGGCAGTGTAAACTAAGGGTTCATTACACAGTATTTTAATTAATAGTTGAAATCTTTGATAGGAAATTGCACATCCACATAATGACATCAGAACTATGTGTATTTGTCTTAAAAAAATACCAAAAACTAATTTAATTTTAAAAATACGGTAATAAATTAAGTATATCTAAAACATATACAGTGAGGTCCAAATGCCAACACACAAAAAATCTGAGGTTTATATGTATATATATTTGGACCACAAACTGTTAGACTACTACTGAAAACCCTTGTATTTAGAATTTAAATATGTACATTACTGTTCAAAAGTTTCTCCTCAAGACAAGATCAAAATACAGTAAAACAGTAATAAATTGTTAAATATTATTTCAATTTATTTTAAATTGAAATATATATTTATTGTCTATTTGAATATATTTTATAATGTAATTTATTCCTGCGATTGCAAATCCTGGAATAATCAAAACATGATCCTTTAGAAATCATTCTAATATGACGATTTGATGCTAAAAAAAAGTTAAAAAAACAAACAAACAAAAAAAATATTATAAATGTCTTCACTGCCACTTTTGATCACTTAATGCATCCTAAAAGTATTAATTTCTTTAAAAAAAAAAAAATTACCCCAAACTGTTGAACAGTACTCTTTAAAGTACTATGATAATATCATGGTGCCATGTCAAACATATAAAATATTAGAATATGCCAACTGCAACCATTAGAAGATATGCCAATATGTTTTTGTGTGTGTGTGTTTGGACTTCACAGATTGTCTTTCTGACGTCCAGTCTTTCATATTACACTCCTGGCTCTTGGCTACTCATACATCAGCACGCATTGGGAAACCTCCAAATGATGCACAGTCACTCACTCACCTGCTGCCAGCTGCATCCATCCGCAGATCTTATACACAGTGGCTGTACTGCAGAAGAAGAAGAAGGCGAAGCAGCCGATGCAGGAGAGGACCAGCACCATGGACATCCCAATGAAGAAGGATGCAGCTTTGAAGGCGCTAGATGGGATGGAGCTAAACTCTGTGAAGCTCCCCTGGCACGTCAGGTCCCGGGACACTCCGCTCCCGCTCCCTATGCAGTAGTGAAAGAGGCCAAAGTAGCCAGCCTGTGGCGTGTCCATGCCATCCCCGATCCAGTAGGGCTGAACAAAACATACCACGTTGACGATGGCGAAGAGGATGGTGAAGATGGCCCACAGGACCCCGATGGCACGAGAGTTCCTGACATAGTTGGTCTGGTAGATCTTGGCTGCTTCCGTGGCTGGGAGCATCGCTGCAGGTGTCCCAGGGATCATAGATGGATTCAGTACTTTATGGATTCAAATAGGACTCAGGTTCCCTATGGATGATTAGGTTCAACCTCTATTTAGTCTGGATTCAGTTCTTAGGCCTAAATCCTATCTGGACTGAATCTAGATTAAGGTTCCACCCCGATTCAGTTTGGACTCAGATCCACAGTGGATTTGAACTGCACTCAGTTCTATCTGGATTGAGCTCCTATCTGAATTGAGTCTGAATTCTGGTCCGATCTGGATTGAATCTAGCTTAAGGTTCTATGTGGATTCAGTTTGGACTCAGATCCACAGTGGATTCAAACTGCACTCAGTTCTATCTGGATTGAGCTCCTATCTGAATTGAGTCTGAATTCTGGTGCGATCTGGATTGAGCTCCTATCGGAATTGAGTCTGAATTCTGGTCCAATCTGGAATTAATCTAGATTTAGGTTCTACCTGGATTCAGTTTGGACTCAGATCCACGGTGGATTCAAACTGCACTCAGTCCTAACTGGATTAAGCTCCTATCTGAATTGAGTCTGAATTCTGGTGCGATCTGGATTGAATCTAGATTCAATGTCTAGTCTGGATTCAGTCCAGATTTAGGTCCTTTCTGGATTCAGATCCTATTTGGATTGATACTGGATTCTGGTTAGATCTGGATGAAGTCTAGATCTAGGTTAAATCTGGATTCAATTTGGATTTAGATACACTGTGAGTTCACACTGCACTCAGGTCCTTTAAGGATTCAGTCTGGATTCAGATCCTATCTAGATTGAGACTGGATCCAGGTCCTGTCTGGAATCAGATCGTGTCGGGGTTGAAACTTTTATGAATTCAGTCCAGACTCAGTCCACTCTGCATTTAGTTTATACTTTGGTCCTCTGTGGTTTCAATCCGAACTTGGTCCTCTTTGGATGTTGCCTGGGGTGCCACCTAAAAACTCAAGTACAGACAGAACAGCTCACAGATGTTGCGACAGACTAAGCAGTTTTAGCGCCAGATGTCACAGTGATTCGTCCAATGATGTTCTCTTCCAGCTCTCTTCTCATTCAGCCTCTATGCATCCGCATCATTCAGCCAAGCAATCTCATTAAGGTGAATAATCACTCTTGGGACAGCAAAAATAATGACTAAACTCATATGAAGACACAGCTCATATGAAGAAGACGCATTCCGGTGCATCAGAGATAATATTCCCAACGGAAATGTCAGTATGAATACTTAATGATGACCCGAATAAATTAATAATACTTGGATGGTTTGCGAATACTCAAACCTTATGAGACTGAAGACATTTATCTATTGAAATATATATTTATATAAACAATAATCTACCTTATACAGTCCAAAGGGTTGTTTCCATGAGGCTACAACAAGGACTATCCGTGATAAATCTTGCTGTGCTATTGCGTTTAACAGAAATAACAGATGTTCAGATGACGACACTTGCACTGCATCATATTTTGCGTGTCCATTCTTCTCAGATGTAACGCAAATATCGCTCTCCTCTCGGTTACTGGCTTAACGGCGTACCGCTGCTCCATCCGATTTAATCCCGTGCGCACATCTCAGAGCAATAAAACACATTACACCTGACCACAGTGATGTCGTCTGAGTAAATAAACGCTGCGATGAGAGTCATGCCGCGCGTGTGGATCTCAATGAGACGCGCTCGATCGAACAGCGCAGATTTCTGTCACACCCGAATAACGTTATTCAGTCTGCGTCTGTCACTCCTCTCCTCATAGCAGACGGAGAGACGCTTGCATGCCTGGAGAATACATATATTCCCTAAAATTTTATCCAGATTTACCTGTGTCTCTGTTGGCTTTCAGGCTGACGATACTATAGATTCTCGCTTTTAAACGTTTAAAAATTTAATTCAAGAGCGTTAGGATTTAAAACATTAAGAACTACAAATCCCAGACCCTTGTCCGGAAATGACGCGGGCTCGTCGTGACGTCCTCCGTGAACCGCGCGGGGAAAGTGATGTGAAGTTTATCCTGCAGGGAAGGTTCACTGTACCTCAAAAACTGAAAATAAAACTCTTCGTTTCTCATGAAAAACATCTGCTCAAGTAACGTATAACGTATTTCTGGTGCTTGTTTTGATTAGTGACCGCATAACGAAGCGGTTTGTTGGTTTGAACGCGTGTAAATATTATTCACAGTGTGTTCTTGCAGTTTTGGTTATTAATTGGTTATGTATATGCATCGGATGAATGTCTGTGCGTCGGGTTTCTGTGTTGTTTAGCGTGTAAGATTAAGTTTAAAGACCGGTTCGTTCAGCGCCGTTACGTTAACGTACTTTTTCTCAGTGCAAGCACGTTTCGCTTTTGAACCGTTTCTTATCATCTGAAACTCTAGTCTGATATGCAACATACGGTTCTTTTTTTTAACATGACACTAATACATATGTTTTATTATGATCAGAGCATGTCTGTGACACTGCAGTGTCCCGGTTATCCTGAGGACACACTGCGCTCTCTGGCTGACTGACTGCCATGCAGAGAGACACAGCTGAAGTCACTGCTGTCACTCATGAGACAGGTGTTAAATACCTACATTTTTATTTATTTATTTTATTAAAGATGGTTATATTGCTTATATGCTTGTTATTCAATTAAAAAGTTAAACATAGGTGATTCTTCAATTAGGAGCTACTAAAAACAAGCGTCTTTCAACTGTGTGTGATATTGTTATTGTTAAATATCAAGCCAAGTTACACACACACACAACATGTCTGCAGTTAATGTGAGCTGTGGTTTCGCTGTCTGTTAACAGCCAGATCAATACAGTTATCCTTCAATCTTCAGCTATGGCCACAGAGCAACAGGAAAGAGTCATGTGGTGCTCTCCATCATGAAAGACTTGGAGGTAAGAACAGAGATTGTCTTATGCTTTGTCCAAATACCCACACTTGCAGTCTTTGCACTTGACCACTTGACTACTTATATGACATATTTCCTGTATTTGGCCCAAGTGTGTGTTGAACTTTTCATTACTTGATGGGACACACTTATAGCGTTGTAAAAATGCAAGCGTTTACATAGCTTTATTTTGTTTTAAATACTTTGCATTTTAAAATCAGCTTCTAAATGTCTGTTCATTAGTCCCTATAACAGATGACACAAATACATTTTTGGTGCTTCTGATTAAGTGATAAAAAGCAGTTGCAAATGTTGAACAAAATAAATACCACCACTACTCATCTTTGCATCAATAAAACGTGCAACACTTTGTTTTTCTACTAAATTATAAAATATCTAATTAGCCTGTTATATTAATATTTAACTTATATTGGAAAGGTTTCCGTGACCTTTTGCGAGATCTCGGCGAAAAGTCTCATGATTTATTTCCAGAACATGATGCATAATGGGATACACTAAGCCTCGAATAGCGCTCCGGAGCAATAGTGTGGATTTAGTGTGTTTTAAGGGCACTGCACTTTGGCGTTTTGAAGACTTGGGACAGTCTTATGCACTTACTTCCTGCCACGCGTTTGCACTCTCAAGTGGCCAAGACCGCAAGTGTGGGTATTTGGGCAAGGGGTTTCTATAGGGAGATAAGAGGGTCTGTATTACTTACTATTGGAGAAAGCGTAACGGTCAACTTGGATTACGTGTGCCTTAATAACCAATCACATTACAGCCAAGTTGTGCGGCACTCAATCGCCGTTTACGGATTGTGGTTTACTTACTATTGGAGAAAGCGTAACGGTCAACTTGGATTACGTGTGCTTTAATAACCAATCACATTACAGCCAAGTTGTGCGGCACTCAATCGCCGTTTACGGATTGTGGTTTCTAAAACCTGTAAAAGTGTTTATTTATGGCATGCACTACACAACTTTTGCCCCAATTTACAGTTTGAAGTGTCAACAGTAGTTGGTGAAAATCAGAACCAGTCTGCAGATTTTGTGCAGTTTGTCACTGAAAATTTCATAGTGAATGATGGACACAGACTCCAGACTATTAATCTATCCAGTCTGAGGATATCAAACATGTATTATTAAACATACATTATTTTCGCTTGATGTCGTGATTTCTAGAAAGGAGGCACATGTTTCTGCATGCGTTTGTTGTGTTTGAAACAACTGGTAGTGTGTGGATCTTTAGTCTTGTAGTTTATGAAGACTAGTTTTTCTCTGTAACCATTTACAAAGTAGGCAAGTGTATGATACCTTGAGTTTTAAAAGACTTGTAGTGTATTCCAGCCTTTAAAAGTGATTGCAGTAGTGATTGAAAATCTTGTTTTAATACCAGCGTGAATTCAGATTTCTTCAGAAGAATTATTGCTGTAGTAAGTGTATTGAAAGTTGCTTTGAGTAAAAGTGTTTATACTAAATGTAAAATAAGTAAGACATTGACTGTAGCCGGCGGATTCGCAATACTACAGCGAGGATAAAAGTTACGCCTTCTTTCTTTGCGTGAACATTTGGGCGGCGTTATGCAAATCTTCCCACATCGTGACGTAGACATGTGGGGGCGTGTTAGAATGAGCAGTTTTAGGTAGGCGTGGCTGACTCTGAACTTTTATAAAGAATATCTCTTTGGATTTGAGACTTTAGTCTTTGCAACTTTACAGATCTTCTTTATGCACCAAGAGCTTGTAACACTCCAAAGAGAAAGGAAAAATTGAAATCGCATCATATGACCCCTCTAAATCTAATAAACTCCTTTTTTTTGTGTCAGTACGGTGTTTGAAATCTTTTCTTGCTTCCTTCAGCCAAAGAGAGTGATATTCACAAGTTATGGAAAAACACTGAGCCCCATCTGCAGAGAGCCATGCAGACGGTTTACCTCCGAGAGGTGTCCAGGTCTGTTAGTGTGCTGTGTGATTTCTGAGTGCTTGAGCTGTGTGTCACATCAGTCTCTGAGTGTTTGTGTGTTCTGGTTTATTTCAATCAGCATGCAATGGGAGCAGCAGCAGATGGACAAGAAGGCGGCCACGACCCTCAGAGGTACACAGACAGACACACGCACTCTTTGTGTTCAGACAGGCCTTAGTCTCAGGGCCTCAGTCATGCCCTCATGGACCATCTGCTGGCAGTGGATAGGGCTGCTAAAAACTGGTTCCAGTGCTTTTCTAGGATAGACTGCCAAGATTTCTACATATATCGACCCTCTGACCACACATAAGCTGATGGGCTGCCCTGATGAGTCATATTTCACAATAATTTGATAGTGGTGTGTTTGTTAAGGCCAGTATCATCTGCATTGTTGTTGTTGTTGTTGTTATTATTATACTAATGGTTAGGGATTTGAACAACCCTTATAAAAAATAAGTGTGTTTGATTCGATCTTAATTGCATATTGAAAGTATAATAAAAAGGTGTATTTGCTGATAATGTAATATTAATTAAATGTAAGGTCACGTAAGTGTACTTAAAGAGTACACTTTTATGGCTGTTTCGTACACTTAATTACACTTAAAATGCACTTTGTAATACTGTAGTTATAAAAAGGATATCACCAAACACTAAAAGTACTTGATTATAATAACTCATGTTATTCTATATTAATATATTTTAGATGTACTAAATTGCAATTTCATCATTACAAATGTGTAATTACACATATTTAAGTAAATTAATTACAGGTTTCAATAGAAATGACATTAAAGTATATTTTAGTTTAGCATAAATGCTTGTCAGTTCTGCAGTACATTTACCCATATTTCAAAGACAGTAGAATTATGAATTTATATATAAAGATGTACTCAAGTCCTACTTAAGTGGGTCAAAAAGCACTCTAAAATTACATTTGAAATGAATTTAAACTGTTATGCATTTTAATTGAATTTTAAATAACATGCAAATGAGCGTCACACTGAATATATATTCATAGTATATAGCCTACACAAATTATATTATTTCCATAATAAGTAATCATAAGTTAATTGATAGGCCATAATACTTAAAGCATTATCTAAAATTAAAAATGAACCTGTAATGTTGTTACTACAGTATTTTTTACAAGTAGATATAAATCTACTTAAACATTTAATAAATCTTAATTTAAAAAAAAGTTAATAGCAAACTGAATCAGTTTGTAGACGGTCATTTTTTATTTTATCTGTATCTTTGGAAATCCATTTCCTTTGCTAATATCATCCAGTGAGAAGTCTTTTCCTCCTCCTGTAGGTTTATCAGCACATGCTCACATAGAGCTGCCGTATTATTCCAAGTTTCTTCTGATTGCTGCTTACCTGGCTTCCTTTAACTCTGCTCGCACAGATCGCCGCTTCTTCCTCAAGGTGTATCGGAGCATTCTGATCTTTTCTTTATTATCTACATACTATCACGAGATCTTACTGAATCATGACTGCACCTTCGTGAATTATGTGATCACTAAAAAAAAGGCTTGTCTTTGCTTCGGAGTCACGGGAAAACAAGAGAGACTAATTTCTTGAAGAAACATGAGAAGGTGAGAAGTTGCTACTGTTGCTTATTGTTCATCACTGTTCTTCCTGCAGGTTTAGTAACGTCATCTATATATATTTTTTCCCTCTGTTTTGTCTTTTTGCTGCAGAGTAGTAACCATCTGTTGGGACCGAAGCCTTTCCTCTTGACAGACTGTTGGCCATAGTCTACAGTGTGGTTGTTAGCAGAGTTGCACCTACAGCCAGTATCTTCTCACAGGTCATTTAATTGATCAAATGATGAGGTTTGGCAAATAATAACAAACGATGCCATTAATTTTAATTAGCTTATATAAGGCAATAAAACATGATTTATGTACAATGTGGCAGCACAAGCAAATCTTGGAATTTTGGACACTGGGTGGCAGTGTTTCATTTTTTTTATTTATTTATTTTTTTTTGTCAAAAGGTAATAAGTTTTCCTTGATAAATTAACAGTATATGAAGAGTTCCTTTGCAAAAACCGATAACTCATATGTACTGTTTTATGTCTGATCTATTATGGCTTAGAACTTTTATTTAAAGATTATGTGATGAGGAAATTATTAAAATACATCTGGAACCAAGTTTGATGAAAGAGAAGTGACCTTTGAGATCCGTCTGCCAAGCAGCATCCACATCTGGAACTATCGGTTTTATATTCAATAAGTTGCAAAATGTTTTATATTAAGTATGTGTTCCCACATTAGTCTGTAATGAATCCTAAAGCAGCTGAATGTCATTGTTCTCATATTTAGGTGATGGAGGTGTTGAGGATCACGATCGGGGTGATGAGGGTGCCCTCTGGAGGATTACTGCCAATTCCAAGGTCTGCGTCTGAGAGACAGACACCAGCCACTTGTCGCAGACATAATCCTCAGGTCAACACGCTTTCCTCCAAACGTCACCTCTCTTTTGTGACACAGATTCCAGCTGTCTAGGGCAGTGTCAGGGAGAAGGTCATGGGCAATGCTGAGGTGTGTTAATGTAGAGATATATGGATATTCTAGATTGCATAGTTGTATTGATGAATAATTGATCAGACATGCTTTTACTGGTATTAGTAATGGGTAAAAGTATGGAAAGCTTAACATTAGTAAAGATTTATCTTTATTTCCAAGATTAAAAAAAATAAAAAAAACTTTGATATTTCTGTAATGCAGGCCTCAATAATATGGGGGAAAATTTGTGTCACTTAAATGTGTAATCATGGATAAAAAAAATTTTCAAAATGTAAAAAAAAAAAAACTAATGGAAAATTAAAATGATCATTATGAAAATATTACACTTTAACAATTTATGATACACAGTAAAGATCACAATGTCAGATGTAACAAAACAACCACTGTTATACAATTTGCTGTAATCAAAATATAAAGCACATATAAAAAGCGTTGTGAAAACTGACATCCAAAAATAGTAACAGTAGTAAACTTTATCAAATAGCTTTATGCAACAACAGCATAAAATACTAATGGATTAAAAGCTATATATAATATATATATATATATATATATATATATATATATATATATAC